ATGATTTTATCATTTCACGATGCTTCAAAGCATGGAGATCCGTGAATCCATGCATCTACTAGATGCGAACTAATGAAGAATAGTGAAGTCCCTTAAGTTTGATGAAAACCATTTAGCTACTAGTATGTATCGTATGTAAAGTATTTGCTTGCAAGTTCCAACCAGGCAATCGTCCAAAAATTTCTTTTTATTTATTCAGAACATGTATCTTGTACCCACACTAATGATTCTTTTCTTGAACCTTTACAGACTCTTATGGAGAAGCATATACGTACTATGTGTGCAGATAGAACCTACTGACAGTAACGAAGGATTACTCGCCAGAATTATCGATACGCCTGAAATCTAATCTTTGTGTGGCAAACGCTTTTTAGTGTGCCTATTTTCCTTCTGTTGTAATGCGACTTTACTCCCGTAACATTAATGGAGCGTGCTAGGGTGGAAATTAATGGTGAACTATTATGAAATAATGCAGCACCTGGAAAACTTTTGTTGATGCGATTAGATGAATAGATAATGACGTAGTGTTCTGTGGCTGAGAAGTGTAGGCATTTTGCTTTGAGTCAAAACCATCACATTAGTCGTAATGCACCATGTGTCTAACTGCATTTCCCTATGGTTTGTTCATCATGGCACGTAACGGCATCTATAAGCCAGAAGCATAGTTTTTTCCATAGGTTTCTTTTAACTTTACAAGTGACTGTGAATAGCAAGTCCGGTAAGGTGTTGTGCTAAAGCGACAGATAACTCTAAGTGCTCTATAATCTAATTAATTTGTTTGAGATGTGGACATCCTTTCTTAGGTGACAACATGATCTTTTCAGCAAGAAACTTTCAAAAATATCTACTTCTACATAGTATATATATATTTATTCCTGTTTATGCAGGAACATACCAATTGTACAGGCATGGATAAGTTATTATATAAATTACAGTTTGTTTGTTCAATCTAACATTAGAGTCAGTCAGAACAGTCTGCAAAATAGTCTGTCTGTGTAACACATAAAGACTTAAGTAATGCAAAGATAATCCTTCATTGCTCACTAAGATAGTAATTCGAGGAAACTGCTGTACTACTTTAATGGATACCTATATTCTTTGACTGTCGCATAAGTTTTATTCTTAATATGTCATCCCTTCAACATGCTGCTATTGATAACAATTACTGCCAATGCATTTATCACTACAGCAACGGTGGACTCAACTTTAAGGACAATATAATTCAAAGGCATGATTTTCTTCTCAGTATACGACTGAATATAAGATATGACAATGAACTCCCAGACTCAGTGGCTCACACCTATCGCAAAAGCTGATATTCATTTTTATCAAGCGGAATATATAAACGAATGAATAGGAATACGTTTATTAATTATTTAACCCTTTATCCAGCAACGGACGCCATGAATTCGCCGAAATTAGCTATTGCCCGAAAAGGAAAATAAGGACTCAAAAGATGTAGACATGATTACTGCTACTCATGCAAAAGTTAACCAGTTAAACTCTTGGGATATACTATGAATCTGTCAATTTGTCTGCAATCACACCGGTCAATGCGTTTTACTCAGAACTGCGTACGTTCGTAGACACTAAGTCAATGACTTAAAAAAAGAATGTTATATGTATGTGGTTACTGATTTAGGTTTCTCCGATATGTGTAGTGTGTAGACATCAGCTTATCAAATGACCCATAGCCATCTACAGGCTTCCAGGATTCATGTTGGAAAGATTTTGATAGCAGGCCCGAGTATGGGTTGAGATTTGGCGACACACCTGGAAGATTTAAATGAGATGTGATGGAATGAAATTTGATGCGTAAATTTGGTTTATTGTGCCGAATAGAAAATCAGAGAACTTTATGATTTAAGCAGGCTGACGTGATAATTTATTTTTGAATTGGCCGGTTAAGGATACATAAAACCTATAGCTGTGACCACGGGTTTAGACCCACTTTCATTCGTCATCAACTAGCAGATTGATCTTGAACATTTTTCACCTATTTCCAAATTACTTAAACTAGCAATTCAGGGGAGATCTCCTGAGCCAAATGCGTCTGCAAACTCTTGAAATCGACCATCCAAATTTGATTCTTGATGCTTCAGTATCGTAGTGCGTGCGTGAGTATCTCGCCCCGATGTACGGAACCTAATCAATAAAAAATGTATAACCAAAAAACAGCTAGGATATTTACACGAGTAACAGTTCGGTATATACGAAATAGGGACGTATAAAACAGTTTTTATAAAGCACCTTGTTTTGCAGATAAATAAATGCGTGCTGTGTTGAATAGGAGTTTAGTCAAAGTTTGACAGGGCAAATGATCTTTGGAGAAGAATTTATCATTACCACGATGGTTTTCTAACATTTCTCGTTATTCCTAACACAAAACCGAGGGGACGTAATCGGCTAGTTGCTGGTACTCGCTGAGCTCACGGAATGCAGAAAGACCCCCTATGTAATTCAGTAAACAATATTTCATCAGTCGAAAGTTGGTTTTTAGATAGCTGAGTACTTTTTGCAGGTCCATTGAAGAAGAAGAATTAAAGTTAAGTGGGAGAGCAGATTTCAGATGATGGCAAAGAAATGAAAATTACTCACCATAGGGACTGAAGTTTTCTCTTCGAAAATATCAAGGAAAAGTGCAAAAGTTAAATCCAAATACGAATGTTCCTATCATGGTTTTATTCCTACGATTTAAGTGAGGATGAGGAGGAATGGAGATACTTATGACGAAAGCTCTTGAAGTTTTTAGCGTATCTTGACAATTTCCCCATTCCTATTCTGGAGACCAGCTGGTTGCATCATATTTAAGTATGATAAAAGTGTGATAACTCACTTCTTTCCTCTATAGGTGCAAACTAATGTGAACGATTTTTATGCACTTTACATACTTGTGGTTTGACAGGCATCAAATTCACGCTACTTGTGGTGAGAGCTGTCTACTAGCCAAATTGGTAGACAGTAATTTACGTCAATGTTTACGTTCCCAAGATTTGCCGTGAGAAAATGTGAACAAAGATTGATTCAAAACCGACCACAGCAGACTTTGCGTAGGTGGATGCAGTTAACATATAGATGATTTGACATTCAAGAAACAGTCACAAAGAGATGAAAGATTAATTTTAAGTGAGAAACAACCAATCGGAAGACTGTGTTTGTTCGCTTAACTATCCATAATAATGTACATGAAAATATATAAATATGCGTTGATTTCATTAATAAATGATCTGTTGCCTGACTCTTGCCTTCTGTCGTTACATACTCTTAGAACCGCAGGCGAACTTGGTTTGGGGGATGCCTCCAGACTAAAAGGGTCAGCGAGACCAAAAATGACTTGACACTGACAAAACCCCTGGGTTTCAAGTTATGCGATACATTTATTATCTGGAAAAATTGTAGCCTGTTTTTCTTAATAATAAATATTTAAGTTATAAGATGCATTCCATTAGTGGTACTACACTCCTATGGTAATAAAATCATGTATTTCAGTGACATCTTTATATAATCATATTTGAGAAATCCAATAAAATTCTTATATTTGGTGCACAAAAATTTCAGCAGTGTCTAATACGGGTTTCAATATTTCATCGTACGTTTACCTGTTTCGTTGGGACTGTGTATATGCCTGATTGCATCAGGCATCGCTGCTATTAATAGTCTCGTCTTGGTGGTCTTTTGTATACATCATCGCAAGTTTTCATGAGATAAGGAACTACTAACGGCGGACTACTAGTATCATGACTGTTTTAGAAAACCATCTGGATCAGATGAAAATACAAGAAGTAAGAAAATTGATCAGAACGATAAGTTTGGGACAAACATTTGGACATGGTGGAATAACCAATACAAAGTCAGCAGTGTATTCATTATGTTGCCTCCGTAAAACAGCAATAGCAGGAAGTTTATCATGGGTAGATCACCGAGAAACTTAATGTAATGGATATCCCACGTGAGCAGTATGGGGGATGAAGAACTTACAGAAATTACTGAGACTTTGAAAGTGGATGGAACATAAAGGTTTTGCCGCAGGGAATGGACGTTTCCTCCCGAGTGGAACATACTACACAGCACGGGACCGTGATCGAGGACTCTTGATATATATGCCAATACATGTTAGGTAATCATTATTGGGCTCTTGAAGCCCTGTGTTAACTCATGATTGGTCAGAGTATAGAGAGCCATCCTGTCCATAGCTCTCCAAAAGTTATATTTAAAACTGCCCAGAGAAAAGACGTAGCAGACTGCAATTTCTAAAGCTAAATAGAAACCGTATTACAAAGTAATTTTTAGTCATTGTGATTTCAGTGAATTTCGGTAAATCACAGCAGATTTTAGTTGATGACTGAGAGACGATCTCTTGGAATTTGTTGAATATTATCGTTTTGCATTCCATTAATTCATTCACTCTGTCCTGATGCTGCATTTTTACTTTCGCCATAGTTTTGTTACTTGTTATCCCCTGTAGTGGTGTAAATTATTCACTTGACTGCACCTAATAGTCACAGTACAAGTGACTTCTAAGCACAAAACATCTTAGTAAATCCTACTCAATAAAACTTATTAATTACGAACAATATAGATAGATCCAGTGAAGTAATGGTGTCATGGGTCAACAGTGTACGAAAATAAGGGAGAGTTTAAGAACAAATTACTCAGATCAAAATTGTTTAAGTAATGATGTAACATGCACTAACTAATATCTTTTCAATACACCTACGATCCACCAGGTCAACTTCTCTCCAGTAAGAATGTATTCATGGAAAAAATGCCTGCAATCGATTAGTTCCTCATAACTAACAACTAGGTTGATGAATTTTCATTCTGGCTGTAAATCTTAACATTTACACAGATTCGCTAAGACTGAAGAGTTAACTAATGACCTAAATCAGATGAATTATTGTAGGGATGACGAATTTTCACTAATTTAAACTTTCTTAAAGGATAAAGGATTTAGTTACTCACGAACGTGAGGATTGTTTAAGTGTGTCATTTTACGATGAACTCAGTTCAGCAATAAAATGAAAATTTTCTTCTTGTGGAGTTTAAAGAGGACGTATTCTCATTATGGAAGTCTACTTTTTGCACATTACACACTAGCTCGTTACGTTTGATTGGAATGCTTAACACGTCCTCAAGTGAAGACGACGAATATGTCAGTTCAGCAGGAAATTTCGAAGATGAGGACCAAGCGAGGAGATGGTTAAATTATGAAGGTAGAAAGTAAGTTCATTTTAGTAGCTGTATTGAGCTATCAAACCACTATTAATTTTACAAGGATAATGTTTGCACTTTGAAGGCTATGCAGCTCAGTGCTTCAGTCAGTTATTTAGTATTCCATACTGAATTTCGAGGCAACAAAACTCTGACTATCCCTTTTTTGAAACTAGTCTTCACTCTTCAACCAATTTCAGTATGTCTTCTCCGTATTAGAAGAATGTGTTTGATACTTAATTTATGTTTCCAGACTGTGGTCTGATTTATTTCGGATATAACATTTGAAATATATCATCGCCAAATCTCACAAAGACTTTATAGTGAACCCATATAATTCCGAAACCTTTCGCAGCCAATGCTCCACAGTTTTCTGTGGCCCTCAGGTCATGGTTAATAACTACTCCTAGATGCCTATACTTCGCAAACATTGGCAAAGTAAAGTCCTATCCTGAGTAGTTGTACATGTTGTGAGTGACATGGATAGACACATTCTTGCTCATACTGATTTCTGAGGACTACTGCTTACTGCATTCAGTTAATAAATCCGTAATTTTTTAGAATCATTAAGAACTTAATGTCATTGACATACAATAGACAGAATGACTTAAGTATCAACAGTGTCTCATGTACACTTCGTAGACAGAGAAGAAGACTTAGAATTGCGCTTTGAGGAACGCCACTATTTGCTGGTTGGCTTGACTACCAGGTAACAATGATCCTTGAATCCAATCTCAGTTTCATATTATTTTCGCGAAACCGAAACTTTTAAGTATGTGAAAGCTTTCGAAATTTCATTATAACAGTAGTTATTGACAAGGATACCATGATAATGTTATTAGCTACAAATAAATAAATGTGGTGACCTCGTCATCACCCTTTCTATTGAAATTTTATGATGTAAAGCTTTCTGTGATATTCTTCTGAAGATTAGGAGGTACTTTTATTTTCTAACACGACTATTCCTGTGAAAACCGAAGTGCGTTAATACACACTCATTGTCAAACGCAAAATCAAGAGATTAAATAATATAAAGGTGTGCTGTCAGAGGAGGTATATACAAATGGGTACAATAAAGATTAGTGTTGAGTTTTTAGAAAAAGACTATCGACTTATCTGCCTTGTAACAACAGTGTTAGAGTGTCTGAGACACAAAAGAAATACAAACTAGCTTAAGAGTGTACTGAGATGCATACTGGTTAAAATGAAACTTAATGTGTTTTTGGGTTCTTTGACCTAGATAATTTACTTACGAAGCTTTCATTATCCTTCTAGACAAGATTTTCAGCGTTAGATTCAAATGTGAAGTTAAAATTACTGTTAGGTTGTGCTAGAAAATTGTTGTTTTTCCCCGAAAGAATTTTGTTATTCACAAAGTGTCATGTACTAACACTGTTGTAAATACAGGCGCTGTAACCTAGCATACTATTTTTTATCAAACACCTTGTCTACGCTTTGTTTGCAGTTGTTTTATTGCTTCTTTTTCTAGTTTGCACAAAAGTTGAATGGTGAATAAAAGAGTTTTTGCTTCTGTCTGACATGATTTTACTTGCATTTATAAAGTTTCATTCGAATGTCCTTTAATAACCTTTTTGGAAGTACTAATTAGCAATAGACTGACCAAATTCAAATATGATTGATTATGGGATTAGATAGTTCAAACTGGTTTATGGTCAGTTCCACCAATAACTTAAAAGGACCCGAATGGTAGACATATGTGTAGAAGTAATTTAACCTCAGTTAGCTTTTAGCTGCCTTCAAGATCTGCAGAATATTTCAAGTGACAGTATTTTTGTGTACTAGTAATGATTACGGGGCTTACTTCATCACAGAAAAGCCTAAAATGGGATACGTTAACGAGAATTCGATGATGCGGTTCAAGATGAATCTTTGACGCCAATTTTTTGTTGTTGTTATGAACAGTAAAATATAGGTTTCAAGACTGTTCCTGTCGAGAAAAGAGAAATCATTAGATAAACGATCAGCCCCATTAAACATTGTTTTATCGCGATGACTTTAAAAAAACAGTCATTATGAGTACAACTCTATCACATACAGTACTGTTTCAAGTTTGAACATGAATCGACGTCAGTTAGAGAAAATCAAGGAGTACTGGACTGTTGTTTTGTCCTAGTTTAGGAATATCCGACACTGTACAACCGTGAACCCACCAGGAGTCGAACCAAGGACCTTCAGACTACCAGGTGAGATTTTTGACCATTCACTTACTCTGATATAATCCAATAATCTATGGATTCTTAGTTCTGTCAATTCCCTGGTCTTCAGTGGTTGTCTAACTGATATCAATCCATGTTCAAACTTGAAACCGATCACATCCCCACAAACAAACACTTGAGAACAGCACTGTTCATTGGGGGGGATACTGTCAGTACTTAGGCTGTTTGTGTAAGTACATTACCAATGGGTTTTTTTATAAATGAAATTACATTCTACCACAGTGCCCAATTTCTACATTTACATTTTTTAATGTTTCTTGTTTACTTTTTGCCTAACTAAACTTAACCGGTACACTGAAGGATGTCAAAAGTGACATTTGATCTTCTCCCTACGAATCATTCCGAAAGTCAGTGAAGCCTCTCTTCTAGTATTTTAATATTTCAGTGTAACTTTGTTGTAACTGAAAGAAAGTTAGTGATAAATCTAATTTTTTATAGTTAGTTTGTAAGGATTAGTTTTGTTTTTACGAGTTGCCTTGCGACCGGAAGGTCCTGGGTTTGAACCCCCCTGCCTATGATTCCAAAACTAGGTTGATGAAACAGCTGTCCAGTACTTAGTACTTGTTGGTTTTCAATGGTTCTCTAACTGATAAATTTAAATCAGATATTCTTGATAATGCCTTTAAGTTACCGTGGAATTGCAGTCGCATAAGTATTTTTTCACACACGCATATGTTATTGAAGAGGTTAGGAGGAGAGGTGAACACACAATAAATGAAAGTATGTTTCATTTAATTAAGCACTTAGATCACATCAAACCTGGTCGTGAATATGCATCGATCTCCAACTAACTTGACATGAGCAGCTGGATAGTACATAAAACTTCAAATATCAAAGATAGTTCATGGTCTAACACTGAGTCACATTGCTTTCGATTTTGTTATTTGCGTAAATACATATGAGACAAAGTTTTTATTTTACTGTACTGTAGAGTGTCGAAAATAATATGATTCTACAATGTCAGTGAATGTTTATTGTCATGGAAACTTTAACCATGAAACGAATCTCTCCTTAATCTATCATAGAAATGAGAAACCTTGTCAAGGTGTGTATGCCATTAGTTTCAGTGTGTGAACATTCGTTCGATTCCATGTTTTCTATTCACTCTTTAAATAATGAGGAATATAATAATTCTTTCGGAATCCAATTGTTAGATTTTCGTCATGAAGCTGCATCAGTCAGGAAGAGGTCATTGAAGACCGGGGAGCATTAGCTACCGGATGGATTCCCTGAAGCTGTAGTGGGAAGTCATGACCAGTGGATGCTTATCGAAGGCATTGGTGAGGGTAGCAGTATTTCACGAAATGGCAAGGTTAGAACTCACAGACCATTAGATTTCATCCCAGTAATTGAAGCGTCAAAAAGCTCGCTTCGCACTTTGAGGGTTCTCGATTCGATCTCCAGTGGAGCGATAGGTGAATACCTCTGAAGAGTCATGAACTAGGGCGAAACAGCTGTCGATCACTCCCTGATTTTCAATGATCTTTCTTCCCCTCACCTGGTTCGACCATTACCTATGTTTTCATCTCCTCCTTACACGATCTCTTCCGCGTCACCGTCGAATATGCAATTTACCATTCTACGTTCGGATTCTACTCGAGGGTATGATTCATGCGGTGTGTCATTCAACGGTCTCCCCAGCTCCTGTGCCATCCATGTTTATTTCCTTCGGCATATTTGTTGAGCAGTAGGTTCTTGGTTAGTTCGTTTCCAGAGTTTCTTGTTGCCTGCAATCCTTTTCGGCTGGACATCTGATTTTCAGTATGAAGCTAGCGAAGGCAGCTGCTGACAAAGGTCTGCAGTGGCTTGTTAGAAATGCTTTTGGTGACGCGTGCGCTAAGTTTCTGACCCATACAGAAGAAGAAGGAACTTAGCATTTGTGTTGAAAATTTGAAGTTTTTTCTTTGTGCTGAGTGAAGCAGATTTCCAAATTGATTTCGGAATGATGAATGTCTGCTTTGCCTTAAGCATTCTGATTTCGGTATCCTCATCCTTGCCCTCCGCCTGTAGTCCCATCTTCACTGTTTCTTCTGCCAGCTTGTTGATTTTCTCAGTTTAAGAGATGGAAAAAATTAAATAATAATAATAACAGTCAGTGAATAAAATATATAGCGAAAATATTCATTCAGACATCTATAAAACACAAAATAATTGAGCAAAGAATATCTTTTTCGATAATTTCTTCCTCCTCTGGCTCTACAATTATATATATGTTCCATGTGTATCTACCAATTTGACTGCTCCTGTGGAGCCAGTTGCACAGGCTGTACAATTAGGCGTGTTTCTCATCGGATTTGCGAACATCAACCCGCATAGTGGTTAAGTAAAAGACAAACAAATCATCTTGTGGATATAGAACACAAGATTAATGTCAACGAGGCAGCTTTCAAAGTCATTAACCTCATACCAACAAATCTTAACTTCGCCTTAAGAGTTCGTTGACTAAATATTGCTGAGACTGGCCGTTGGGATCCACATTAAGAAGCTAGTTCAGACATTATCCTTACCTTGGCCATCTAGGTTCGAATGATCCTCAGTTTTTTGTAGAAATTTCTCTAATTTTAGTCGATATTCTATTTGCTATTATATCTTTGTTATTATTATAATTTAAGCATCTTTAGTGAACTGTAATTCCATTGTGATCTTACTTTACAAATCGATATTATTTAAAAAGCACACTAATATTGTTATTGACTACTAATCTAGAATATTCTATGTATATAAACATATGCGTATATAATTGTAGAGCCAGAGGAGGAGGAAATTATCGAA